TGGGTAAAACATCCAAATCTAATGTTTTACTTTTTTTTACACAACCCGTTTTGATGACGTTTTGATTTTACTAAAAATATTAGAGAAAGATATCGTCAATCTAAAAAATAGAAGTTTTTTCCATGTTTTCTAAAAAAAATCACAATTAACCCCAAAACTCTACATTACGCTTTTGCTTAGAATCCAGCTTTCATGGTGAGATAGAAACAATATTTTTACATTAAAATTCAGGAATCAAAGAAAAACACTGATTTTCTTGGATTTTGGATATATTTACCCAATATTTTTAGAAAAATAAATATGCCCCAATATGTTTGACCGTTGAGCTTTTACTTGTTACCGTTTAGCTCTAGAGTTAAAGCTATCAGAAAACTATATTAAAGTTTAATATGTAGTTTAAAATAGAAAATGTTGGTTTTTGTTACGAATATATGTGTCAATCACCGACGGAGGCTACTCCACACCTGGACCCTAGATAACGGCTTTACTTCCCTCACGAAGGAAGGCGTGACCAGAGCTGTTTCACCATAGAAAATTCCAGCGACCTCGGTTGGAATTGGTCCCCGACTCACTGGTGTGAGAAAGCAGCCATGCTCATTACTCAACCACCGGCACTGTCACCTAGACTATTTCGTTTATCGTAATTTGAATCTTCAAAGCCTTGTTATAATTCATAAGACTTTCGGCGATTGTAGACTATCAGATGTTGATTTAATTTCGTGCACTGAAAATTCAAAACCAGCAAGTTCCATCATCGGAATTACTAGCATGCCAACAACAAAATAACGGAATCATTTGGTAATGAGATTTCTGCTATAATAAGTAGTGGGCGAAACCGGGCCGGTCGGTATTGGGTTCGTGAAGTGATTATGATGATTATCTGCCGAAATTAATTAAGGCTAGCGCTCGGGCATCGCTTCGAGGGCCGCTCATGTGCTCCATCTATGCGAATTCTATTACTCTGCTGGAAATCAATTGAACGGTGTTTTCCATAACCGAGAATTTGGTTATCACGAACGGTTCATTTCCATTGAAATTACCTGGCAGTGCTGCCAGGGGAATACCAGAGGAAACCCCCTCGCTTGTGGTTATGTTGTTAAAAGAGATACAATGCCAGAAGCACACTAACACAAACCGCTTCAGACTGCACCAAGCTTTAATTGAATAAGCCGATCAGTTATCCCAATTTGTAGTAATCCCGAAATAATAATAACAATCATTATTACTATTAACAATATCATAATAACAATGCAAATACGCCGCTCGAAGCCAGTGCAGTTCACAAGGACGACAATTGCCCTGGCTTTGAACCTACGTGTCTCCCCCCGTTCCACTATAGCATAATCCTTTGTCACTTATTACCATACTAGGCGCCCGAGCCCTGCAACCAAAAATTTGCCCACTTCTATGGTGTATGGATGAATGTGATACAAGTGGAACAGTGTTGCAAGCGCTGCTGCTGGCTGAGAATGTATACTGCAGCTGTGTCAAGTACGAGAGTGGGAGAGTAACGATAATCCTCTTGCTACGATAAACACAAACGAAATGCGAGGGAGTACTTTACACATTCATTATAATAACAATTTTCCATCATTTTACCAACTGGTATGTACATATATACCTTCCTAGCTAGTGTGATGGGGATCGCTCAAAATTGTGCAGTTGTGGGACCGGATTACATACATTGCCACATAGCATTCTTGAAACTAGGCGAAGGGAGGAGGAAAGGTTAGCTGGATTTATGGCACAAGGGAGGAGAGGACATAAATAGTAGTAGGTGTAAATTTACATTTCATGCAAGGCTGGATCCCATCACGAAACAAAGCATTTGGCATTTGTGATGCATAAGCTCAAGACGGGCTTGCGAAGTGTAATACAAGCGACCCACAACAATGGTGCTGGTTGTTGAGAGTAGAATAAACTTCATCTGAACACCGGATATATAGCTTCTTTAGTTGATGAGATGATTGAGTAGAGTGAATTGGATCCTAAAGGATGTGGGTTTTGGGAAAAGTAGGATTTCATTTTTGGAATTGATTTAATAATGTTATGCATTTCAATGCTGTTGTAGCTGCTCAAACGGCAAATAATTAGGCTAATCAGAACCTCTCGTTGAATGAACATATAATTGGAATGTAATCACTAGGGTGGTTCAATGTAGTTAATTTGCTCCGCCCCACTCAATCGATCGCTAAATCAGGTTCTGATAATTTTCCTAGAATTGGAGAAAGTTCGCACTGCACTATCCAAGTAACCAACAAGCCCGCTAATTGGCCTTTTTGCAATACAAGGTTATTTTGCGGTTAATATAAAGCTTAGCATGCCTATTGTTAGCCGTGCATCAGCCTTATATTGCAAAAAGGCGAATTTGCGGGCTTATTGGTTGCTTGGGTAGTTTTTTTTTTAAAGTTTATATGGAAACTTGCTGAGTGTTCCCGGCCTTGCTCGGTATTCAATATTAGCTGGAGTTTATGAGCTGATTCGAAAAAGCATGCTATATTTTAAAAACAGCAAAAAAGGTTATCTTCCATTTAATTCCACTTAATTAATTTTGGTATCCATGACAGATACGTATTTCGACTACAATGTGCAGTCTTCATCAGTGTCATTCCCACTAAAGAACTTATCAAAATCTAACCCCCTTTAGTTCTTTAGTGGGAATGACACTGATGAAGACTGCACATTGTAGTCGAAATACGTATCTGTCATGGATACCAAAATTAATTAAGTGAAATTAAATGGAAAATATTTCTGATCGATTGGTGATAAAATTATTGAAATTGGTCCAGGAGCAGCTGAGTTATTAATATTTAAAATCTTTCATATTTTGTAACATGGTCCATTTTCGGTTTTCACAAAGTGTACCCCCATATATAAATCGCAGACGTAGTCCTACGTCAAAATGGTATTTGTTTTTGATTACATAAGCCCAAACTTCTTTAATCGTTCCCAATCCATCGAAGTTACTCATTAGATTCTATCTTAGTGCGATGGCACATTACTGAGAAAAATGTGCCGAGAATCCATTGCCTTCGGCAAAGATCTCGGTAAGACATTCAATTGCCGTGAGATAAACAAACCAAAATTTTCCACAACTGTCACATTTGGCCAAGTCTTCGAAAAAACTGATATCGGTAATTTTTAATTTAATTTTTTGCTTTGAGCTGTATTATGATCGAGATTTGGAAAAGAAATGAAAAAAGTAGTAGGGTTTTTGATCTAATTTCCGTACTACTAAGCACAACTCCCGCTTTACCTCTCTTTTTTTAACGGGTTTGAACAAAAAATGGAATATTTCTGTCAAAAATGATTTCTAAATTTATTCAACTTTCCATACGTTGAATTTGATAAAGAGTCGAAAATTGTTGAGGTCTTGTTTAAAAGTAGCATGATATTTTCCAATTAGATCAGTATTTACTATTAACGAAGCTTGGTAAATGATTGTTTTTGCTAAGATATGATCCAAAGTTTGGTATATGTTCAACCAAACAATTCAGCAAATTTTCAGTTTAATGAACTATTACGGCGTTATATTTCACCGTGGAACGATTTTTATTTTAAGTGTGTAAGGAATTCTTCGTTTTCCAATCACTTGAACAAAAGTACTGACCATAAAGCGAACTAAGCTGCACACTTAGATTATTTTACTGGAGTCAGTAGTTTTTACTGGGTTTTTAGTCTCATTACATGAAAAGCACATTCTACCTTCTACAACACTTTGATTTGAGGGAGGTTCATTAAATTTCACGCATCCACACCTTCAACTCTTGAAGGGATGGTATGACTTAAGCTGGGTTTAGACTAGGCAAGTCACTTGATCAACTCAGATGAATTCAATTGGCTTGAAAAGTTGAGCCTGGTTCAACTTACTCATTACTGATTAGTACCAAACGTATCCCATGACAATTTAAAGCTAACTGCGTGTTTATGATCGTTTCTTCGATTATATTTTATATTTTATTGCAATACCTTTCGTGGAGCTTTCATAGTATCGTAATGTTTATTTATTTTGCACGATAGGTAGCCGGTTTGACAGTTCAATATGTAGAATTGGCTTCACTCACAGAACAGAAGCGGAACTTCAGATCAGAAAGTGTCTCCACTTTTCATTGGCGAACACTAGCGCACCTAGCGGTAATTTTCTGCATACAGTTAAGATAGGCAGCATGCTATGACAGTGTGAGTGTGCATAGAAAGCCCGTGTGGAACGCTACCACAACGCATCGCTTGTTGAGCCGAAAAAACGTACCACTTTTTGATTCACCGATTTGTTTACACTCCCCCTTCTGTTCTGTGCGTCACTCTTGGCGTGACTCACTGTACACCGACTATGTATGTTGTAAAAACATTCCACCACAACAAAGCGCTAGGTTACCGGATTGAATAAATTCTAATCATCTTTGTCTCGTAATAATTGGCATTTGTTAACCTAACAAAATATTTTCCACCCCAAACAATATTTATAGTTGTAGGTATATAGCATCCACCGATTGTAGAAAGAATTTGATTTAATTTTAATGTAATGGCTCTCATCGATGACCTATTGTGCTTCGATTCAGATCGCAACAACGGGGCCCATTATTTCCACTCGCACAGGCGTGAACCATTTTTGCGACAATTTTACCGAATTTGATACATATGCTGCGGTTGGCACTTGGCACTGGGGGGCCCAAAATGTATGCCGAATCATCCACCTCCATGAACACAAAACTAATTTGTATGACGTTGCGGTAGGTGGCGTTTACGCTTATCAAAATTTAATTTTATTGCTTCCGATTTAATTAATCCACCCGTATTAAAACAGGTGTAATTCACATTTATGGTTTCGAATGCGAGCGTTTTGGGATGAGCACTCGTTTGCGTTCACTTCCGGAATGTATGTAATAATATGCTGGAAATGGATACGGCATTGAGGTTTTTGGTTGGTGTGTTTGTGTGACACTTTGAGGTTAGGCAATTGATTCCTACATAACAGTTAAAGTTCTCGAATGGGTACTTACTTTTTGCACTTTACGTGGACGGAAAGCGGGCTGCTGGGCGAGCTTTCGGCGTTCTTCGTTCTCCAGTTCAGATTGTTTCTTGACATCCTCCGGTGGCCATTTCTGATCTCCACGCATATTGGTACCGCCTGCAAGTAGATGGAGGTAAACAGAATATAATAAGAGAAATTTTAATGATCGGCTGGCGGAAGAACGATAAAAAAGCTTTCAATTGCTGGCATAACGAGTTGTGCCTCTTATTCTTCATCTGCTATCAAAAGGGACGAGATTGTGAATAGAGTTGTATAAAACTTTGCTTCATGTCAAGTGTCAAGTGTCATCATTAACAGACCAGCGTTTGATGTTTTCATCCAGATCAAAGGAAAATATTACATCGTAGGGTTGAAACAAACGGCTTGTTGAGAAAATAGTGAAAATGATATCCCAAAAGTATTTGGATGGATGACCGAAATATTCCCCTCAATTCAAATCAGTGAAATTCGTCACCATTAAGCAAATCACAATCTCCACCATCATCGCCAGAGCTGGGCTATTTTTGGCAATATTCAATTTTCCGTTTTGACTGACTGATTCCGCTCGATTATATAGATTTGGGTAAGCGGCGCGCATGTGAGATGATCGTTGTTATTTATGGTTGCCATTATTTATTTATTTAAAGTCGTAAACGATTTCAAATGGGCTTTCCGATCGGATAATCCTTTCGGGTTTAGATTTATAATGAATAAAAAAAAAGAAGAGTTTGGCTGCAAGCGAGTGGAGGTGCCGATCAGCAGGTACCAACCCATCTTGCTGTCGATTTGATGGTGTCGTCGCATTTGGAAAATTTATGAGTTTATTCTTACGATGCTTTCATTTCAATTCCTGAACATTAATCTTACGGGCCGACACAGCAGCATCAATGGTTTTATTTTCTACGGAATAGTTGTGTGCGATGGCATCACAATTATTTATCGGGTATCGATGAAGGCATGATTTGGTATCATAAAAAGTACCTTCGCTTGCATGGAAACACCGGGATCCATTATTTGCATTACGATTCTCAGTTAAATTGATCAGATTTGGTGTCATATATTGAAATTGATGGTTGTTGGAGGGTTTACGTAATGGTTAAGCAACGCAGTTAAGGGCGGCCGATAGATCTTTAACTTTACATTGCAATGTGAAGTGTAATTTGTTTTAGTCTTTATTGAGCATTTCCTGGGGAAATCAGACGGATAAAAAATATAAAATCTTGCACGACCATCTCCGATTTGAATGAAACTTTCACAAGCCTTTGATGTTTTTTGATTTTCAATTAATTAAATAAGTCAAAATTATAAAATGTTGTATTTAAGGCAACTATTGTAAACCGGTTTACACTCATTGACGACAAATAAATAAATAATTAAATAAGTAAATAAATAAATAAATAAATAAATAAATAAATAAATAAATAAATAAATAAATAAATAAATAAATAAATAAATAAATAAATAAATAAATAAATAATTAAATAAATAAATGGATAATTAAAGAAAAGAACATATTGAATCAAGACTATTTTTTTCAAAAGGCCGTATGTGTTTTCACATATGTATAACCATAACTCGAAAACCGTTGATTGTAACAAAACTGTGTCTGAGAAGAAGCTTTAGTCATTTGAAAATGATAGAAAAAATATTCACTGATTTCTTTATTTAAAAAAAAAAATCATGATAAATTTAGAAATATAGTTTACTTATCGCTTCAACGTAGCGCGGTATGCCGGCTCTCAACTTAGAGTTCTAAATGCACATGCAAATGACAGATAACAAATAAGTGAGTTAGTAAGTAAGACATTAACACTTATCAAAAATAGATGAAGTAAGATAATGTCGATCAGGAAAGAACAAAGCACTACCATGCTGTACATAAATTGTTTATATGAAAGTTATTCAAAAAATCAATTTACCTTGCGCCTGACATCCACCTACCAAGCACGTTTTGCACGAACTACATAATACTTTTGGAATCCACGGTTCGTCAAAGTCTCCAGGATCAATTTTAAAATAAAGCCTGTATGCAGTTTGCAACGAAGCAGTGAAATTGACCGATTTTGTAAATATATAGTTGCCACACGCGTAACAAAACTTTTGAGGATCATTTTTACACTTGAATTCACGTTTTGTCGTATACATCGTTAAGCAATGTTAAAGAAAGAAAGCTGTCAAATTGAGTTGGTTGCGTTAGGTTCTCGCCGAGCGGTCTCACAAACACTAGCGTAAATTATATTGTTGAAAATATCCCATTTAATTTTGCGTGACAGTTGGTAGTGTTAGTGAAATCCACCGTATGCGTACACGTCCGCAGAAAGGCTTACTGGAAGTGGTGCATGAACCTAGGAGCGGGACAACGGCCAATCTTGGAACATTCAATTTCCATGATTTTACAAAAAATTTCATAACTTCGACAATTTCCAACCGATTTTATTCATTAAAGGCTCATTTTCTCCGGTTTTAAATGGACTTTAAGAATAAATTATGGAATGATTTTTTGAATCTTTTTATCCCATTAAAAATGTTGATTAAAACAAGATTTTTATGGAAAATTCGCAGGAAAAATAAAAAAAAATGCTGTAATTTTTTAAATTACTTCAAAATTAAATTTTTAATTAAGACATAATATTCTAGTGAACGATAGCAAATTTATTTAGCTTCATTTTCATAAAAAAGATTTAAAATTGGTGCACTTGTTCCAAAGATATTTACATTTTAGTAATCATACTTTTGACCAAAATTCAAAAAATCAAAAATTTTGTATATCTCAAAAATGGCTCTACTTTAATTTTTTCTGACCACGGCATTGAATACAGCGTAGGATTTTGCATTGGAAATGATCATCACCTTACCGAGTTCAAAAATGCTGTAAACTAGTGTAATTCGCAACCCGAAAGATCTCCTCGACCGGAATCTAACCCACCACCTTCGGATTGGTAATACCGTGCCATTACTGACTAGACTATGAGACCCCAACATTTTCTGAAATGTAGATATGTTTGTTTTTAACTATTGGTATACTTCACTGTTGATTTCTTCTAATGAATGGAGTATCCTTACAAGTATTATTAAGTATGCAGTTGAATAAAATCGTCAAGAAGCCGTCTCTTCAATAGGCGATTGTAGGCAATTAACACCAATTTTTCTAACAGAATCAAGTTTAAGATACGAAACCGTTCATATTAACGAAATATGAATTCAGATTCGCATTCGGCGACCCATAATTAAGTATAGAAAGTAATTTCTCTGAACACAGCACCAGAGTAACCAGTTAAAAGTTATATATTTTCCATACTGACATACTTCCACGAAATTGTACTTTAAGAGTGGAAAACAAATCAAAAGTACTATTTTAAACTACTTAATGAAGTACTAAACAAATTATCATACAACAATATCATGAAAAAGGATTGTTGAGAAACAAAAATAAAACGATGTAGTGATCAAATTCACCTCAACGATCAACTTCACCCCGTTGTGCGGTATGCTAAACGTCGCGCTCTAAAATTGGAACTCAAAATGTTTCAGAAATCTCCTGCCCTGGGATAAAGATTTCAGTGGCAATGGTACTGTGGTCCGAAACGACATTTCAGCGGGGAAAAACATTTACTCCTTTTTTGTAGATTATAGGGGAATGGTGTCTTGGGAGAAGATGTTTATAATTAAATCACAGACAAACACACTTCACATTTCCTCCTCAATCGTCGTACATGCATTTAACGTTCCATTTATATATTAATAGTTTCGTGAATCCCTCATCACAGCGCTATTACCGGATTACTTCAACGTTTTTATATATTGTATCGAACTTGTATGCAACATTGTTTCACAAATAGCAAGCCAGCTATTTCCGCGAATAACTCGTGAGATGTCGCTAGTGAGTTCCGGGATGTTATTTTTTAGGAAAATGTATTTAAAGGGCTACGTCTGTTTGTCTGTGATTAAATGGTTCTTATTATTATGAAAATTTTGCTTAGGGTGGTCCTCATTTAAATGGAAATCAATAATAATACTATATTTTTTTCATTTACAAAAGGAAGTGCTTGCATTTTTATCAGGCATTTTTTATCTAACGGCACTCACTCTCTCATACTCGAAATGTGCCACGACCAAATTGGCACAACGATGCCCTCTGACCAAAGGGCAGGGCGATGCTAAAACCCTTGTGTGAAAAGTATTTTTAGCAGAAACGCTGAAAAAGACGTCTTAAAATGCACGGTTGCACCTAAATATACGTAATTTTATTCAAAATCACTGGTAACTTTGCGAAAAACTTTGCGATATTTAAACATTCTACCACTACCATTTTTTGTTATGAAAAATACATCAGGGAAATCATGAGTATCATGATGATATGCTGTTAAGATATCTCTTGATACATAGCACCGAGAAAGACGAGCAACTTCACCAAATTTAATAAAAAAATTAAATGTTTTTAAAATATTTTTCATTTGAAGTTATAGAAGGATTCATTTTTCAAAAAGTTGTGTTGACAATATATTTAGAAGCAGTTACTGCCTTGATTTATGTAGAGATGGTGTTCATGAGTTACACGTGATTTAAGAATTAATTTTGGGTATTTTAAAAGTTTATTTACTCCCAGTGTTGGCTCATCGTTTTCTTAGAAAGAGAAAGTATAGTTTGCTATCCCTTTTAACTGTTCACCGATGGCAGACACGAAGTGACTGCTGCCAGCCGTTATGGAAGTTTCAGTTGCGTTTGGGTGTAATGCAAAAATCATTAAACTCAATCTCACCACAGTTTGTTGAGATTTGCAGCTGGTGAGTTTCGTTAGTTTGATTTTTAAATATTTTCCCAACACTGTTTACTCCATTAAAAAAAAATAGCCCTCGTATAATTGACCTAACATATTGTGTGTGGACTTTTAGATGCCGCATCAAGAATAAACTTATCTACAACCGCAGTTTTAAAATATTTGAAACAAAAAAGATAGAATTAGAAAAAAATATTTTTTGGGGCTCCCTAATTAAAAGCAGAAAAATGTCAAAGTCATAGTCATAGTCATAGTCATAATCATAGTCAAATAAAAACCTAGATATCTGATGTCTTCAGAGAAGTTGCTTGAAATAACTGTTTTTACAACTTTTCTGAAA